CACAATTTTTTTTTATAAGCATTTAAAGTTCAAAAATTGACAAAATATGGAAAAATCACGAAAATTAGCAAATTATTTTGAGTTAAGAATTCGTCAAAATTTTTCTTTTTAAATCTAAGATTTGAAAATGAAACACAAGAATCCTTATATCTACCTTATATATATTATCTACCTTTATCAATAAAAAAATCTCTACCGGACAGTCAAGTTAAATTTTTATGAGCGTTTGAAATTCAAATTTTTACAACATTGGATATTCACTCGATTTCTCATGTAGCGATTTCCTTATTTTTGTTGTTATTGATAAACGAATAACTATAGATACATGAAAATTTCACTGAATGTTTATATTAGCATTTCCTATACACCATACAATTTTGAAAATATTTTGACGCTTTTTGAGCTATTTACGGACATTTTCAGCTTTCAATTTTTTTTAGTTTTTTTTCTATAAATATCAATAAAGTTTTATCTGTTTGGCCAAAAAGTGTAAAAATTTAATACAAGGCTCCTGATATATTGTTACAATATCAGTTGAAAAATATTAAAAATACATAGGCACGATTTTTTTTTATAAGCATTTAAAGTTGGAATTTTGACAAAATTTATCAAAATCTAGAAAATTATCAATCGTTGGACTTAAAAAATTATAAAATGTTCAGTTTTTATAACTAAGAGTTGAAAATTTAAAACAAAGATTCTCTTAAATAATTCATACTGTAACCAAAAATTCTAAAAAATATATAAACACACTTATTTTTTACAGACATTTTAATTTCAAATTTAGACAAAATTTCATATTTAAACCAAGAATTACGATTTTAGTTATTTTGTTGTGATTGAATAATATTATTCGTGGGTACTTGAAACTTCTAAAGTGTACTATTATATATCTATGATAGTATCACGGTTTTTGTTGATGTATAACGCGTTATAAGTATCTAATGGATATTGTGATATGATTAGTTTGGAATTTATTATAGGTACCTATTATAGGTCAATTTTTTGTTTAATACCATAGATACCTATGTATATAATATGTCTTATACATAGACTGACATACCGTCACCGCTCAGAATCGTTTTTCTTATACAATGATATTATATCATTGAATTCAAATTTAATACCATCCATTATACAGTGACCCACTTGTAACCTACTGTACAGCAGAGCGACACCCACTTGCCCACCTTTTTTTTTATTTAATTAATTTTACAAAATTGAATTTATTTTAAATACGTGGTTTGGGAAAAAATTAACTTAACGTGCCAATAAAATGAATTAACTCTTCAAGTTACTGAATAACATGGGGAAAATGTAACTCGTTAATTAACTTAGTTAAAAGTAACTTAACTTTAACTTATTAACTCGTTAATGCCCAGCCTTGATTTTATCATATTATGTACATACGCAACATCAAGACAAAATTAATGATTTACACATAATTCACCAAACCGTTATATTTTTGCTGAACCTACTTATAATTCTTAGCTCAGAATGTTTTTCGAATGCTCATTTTATTGCAGTATAGAACTTAAATGTTTAAGAAAAAATCACCAATAACAGCCAAAGATAATCTGTATCTCACCTTTTTCACTTACCTATTATTTTTCTATAGGTTTGGTATGCCATCAGAAAAACAAAAGACAGATTTTACAAGATCGATTGTTGAAATGATAACTGAGGATATGCAACCACTATTCTTTGTTGAAAATAGTGAATTTCAAAACGTTATTCGATTGCTTGATTCAAGGTACTTGGAGCTTTTACCCAGTCGCCGAACACTAACTGGAAGCATCTTACCTGATCTATACTCGTCGACCAAAAATAAATTGTAAGATATTTTGAACAAATCAAATTATATTTCCATTACTTCGGATATTTGGACATCATTAAATACAGATTCGTTTATGACTATTACAGTTCACACATTTGACAGTGCTTTCAATCTTAAAACATATATATTATGTACCGAAAAACTAGAAAATAATCATACAGGTGAATGTCAAATTAGTCAAACATTGAAAAATATATTTAATGAATGGGAAATAATGCACAAAATTGTAGCAATCGTAACAGATTCAGGGGCTAATATTAAATCGGCTGTAAACAAATTACAAATACCACACATACCTTGTACAATGCACATATTAAATTTAATTGGTATCCAAGCAATAACATTTAGAAGTCCGCCAGGTGAGAATAATGAAGTAGGACTTAATGAACTTCAAAATCTAAATGATTTATTGAAGAAGTGTCGTTCAATAGTGACATATTTAAAAAAAAGTGAAGTTGCAAATCGGAAATTGGCTGACAAATTATTACAGTTAGGAGCTACAAAACTGAAACTAATACAAGACGTGTCAACAAGATGGAACAGTAGCCTATATATGTTAGAAAGACTGGTCAAATTAAAAGAAACCATTGACCTATGCTATGCTTTCCTTAAAATATGGACCTGCAATGTTAAATGCACAAGAATGGGAAGTAATAGAAGTTGTTATTCCCATATTAAAACCGTTTGAAGTAATGACTACCGAGTTATCAGGAGAGGACTACCCAACATTGGGAATGGTTATTCCATTAGTGAGAGGTAAGTAAGAAATACAAATTTTGTATAAATCAATAAATAATTAAACAATTTTTTTTTAGATTTACAAGAAGCTCTGAAATCAAAACAAATGAGGACATATTTAGATAAGCTACTTCAGAAAAAATTGCTGGAAAACTTAAACAGTCGGTTTAAACACATTGAAGAACAAAATCCTAAGCCTGAATTTTCAAGAGCAACTCTACTTGACCCTCGTTTTAAGAAATTGGTATTTCAGAATTCAACGAATGCCGAAAATGTAGAAAAGAGATGAACTCTCCCTACTTATCAGTGAAATTTTGATTGGTAAGAAATAATAATATTAATACATTTTTTTAACAATACAAATTTTAATTAAATATTAAATGTTGTTATTTTGCAACATTACAGAAGACAATTCTAATAATACTCCTGGAACTTCTGAAATACAAACCAATTCTTCAAATGAGACTATAGATTTATGGAGCTTCTTGGATGAAAAATTAAACACAGAGCGAACTGCACCCTCTCTAGTACCTGTGAAGGTCCAAAGTACACGTTGTGATAGTCTTCCAGGTGGACAGGTAGTCTATTGATCGTATGACTCTTGTTATGCATTTCATACGAAAATAACCTCCAAACAGCTTCTGGTGGACTGACGTACCGTGAGTTTATGTAACTAAAATGAACATCAACGTATATCATAAACATTCAGGAATAAAATAATATATATATATGTTTATATGTATACATCTAAAAATCATAGGAATGAGATTACCTCACAGCAGCAGCATCTTGTTCCCTTTGCCGTGCTTGTCGCATGTTTCTGTAAGAAAATAATATTATGTTATTATTAAAGCCACATGATATATCCACATGTGTGTACAGTAGAAGGATAAAGAATAAATGTTATCCATAGGCAAGTGCAACCTGATAAATATTACAGCACAGTATATGTTATGTAATTCGGAAATTTACAGATACTGTTAAAGACATATTACTAAGCACACATACTGGAAACTATGAAATACAATTTTGCATAGGAGTATTAAGTAAAAATGGGTATATTACCCACTGTAATGGAAATGTACACAGAAAAAGAAAAATCAATATATATGTATATCGTTACATACATGTGACATATATATATTTATAGGAATTGTAAGGAGCTGTTGGAGTTTAATCGTATCGTTTAAACGTAAAATATGTTTTTTAATGAGTGAGTAGTAATTATAATGTAAACTATACATTTTTAAACAAAAATATTGCATTACTGTCTACACCAGGGGTCTCCAAACTACGGCCCGCGGGCCGGATACGGCCCGCCAACAAGTTGTGACCGGCCCGTGGCCCGCATATGTAAATATAGATAAAAAAATTATTTCAAAAATGTATTTATATTATATTATATTTATACCTATTTATTTTTATTTAAGTATAAAGTAAAGTAAACAATATTTTATACAAAAATATAAAGTAAACATATTACCTATATTATCATAAAATTAAAAATTATATGTGTTAATAAACTTTTGGCCCGCTAAGAGCATTTGATTTTTTTTGTGGCCCTTGAATAAAAAAGTTTGGAGACCCCTGGTCTACACGAATGTGTATTCAATGCAATAGTAACCAAAGTTACTCGTTGTATCATATAGTAATACGTAAAAGTGCAATATCTATACTAATGTAATGTGTGTTCAACACACTACAACTTGAAGTAATATTTTTATTTGATTACAAATATACTTTGTTAATGAGTGTGATGTATGCATTTTGCTAGATTATGTTTATGTTAATAATTTAAAGTAATATATATTACTCGAAAGCCACCGCAAATGTATTGATTCGCCGTAACAGTATGTCTAAGTCTGCAAGCAAGTTCTCCAATAGTGGTCGTTCACGTGGCTGTTGTGCCATGCGAATCTGATTTGCTGCCCCGGATTCAATAAAATACAACTCACAATACCTTGGTTGCATTAGTTCATTTCTGACAACATCATTACTAATCCTACGATATACTTGCCCGTGAACGGAGAATACTCTTGGTTCCTGACCAGGCAAACGTCTTGGTCTCATATCAGTGGAGAAAGCCGCAAATGCCAGAGTGTTGTTGTACCGGCGGATTTCTTTCCAAAAGTGTTTTGCTACCTGCGAATCATCAACCAACAAACGAATTAATAACTCTGGTGGTGGACCCAAAACACGGTCTCCTGTAACAGCCATTTGACCGTTATTGTAACACGTAGAAAAATTACCCGTTGAAGTACGCTCGCAGGAGAAATGGCGGGCACCACAGTGCCGGCAAACAACATTCAATGGTCCTATGTCATGCCAATCTAGAAGTTCGTGTTGAATGCCAGCCGGACGGTCTCTCAAGGGTGCACTTGCTCTCGGTACAACAGGAGGAAGTGCCTGATTATATGAATACATATTAAAGTTTAGTATATAAAATAAAGTTGGCAGTCTTCATTCTTGAATTGGTCAACGGGATTGAGGAATATGGATGATAGAGCGGAGCTGGGTTTTTAGGTGCATGGTGTTGTGGTGTTACAGTTATATTATCAGATGATAGATAAGAGTTGGTAGATACATCAGAGAATGATGAATAAGGATATGGATGATGGATTACAGATGTTTGTGGTTGTGGTGGTATATGTTGAACGTTTGAACCGCTATAAAAGTTATTTGGTACATTTTGGTTGTATTGTATATTATTGGACTCAGAAATTTTTTTAAGGGACTGTAAGAATTGAAATTTAAGTTCTACTTTATTTTCTTCATTTAACTTTTTTATATCTGGTAAAAATGACATTAAAAATGCCTTATCGGGATCTTCTGTTTCGGGTGATACATTTAGAAAAGGGAGGTTTTTTATAGCTTCTAATAGAGATTCTTGAAATGATGTGGTCTTAGATTTTTTATTTTTTTTTGCTGAAGATGACTGTTGTGGAACATTAGCATCTGTGCAGTTTAAACCAATTTCTGCTATGTCAACATCACCAACATTATCTTCTATGCCAGTTGTATGTATAGGTGAATTTTCAACGTATGTGGTATCAATTAAACTCATATTCCCAGTGGTCCTGACAAATTAAAACAATAAGATTTAAATTATTTAAACAAAACCATAAAATAAATAATCTTACAAGAATCAATGTTATAAACAAATATTTTAGTTGGTAATATACTACCTTATTTATTTATTCATTACTAGGTATTTGTAAATTGTTGTAAACAGATTTATATTATCTATATAAATATGGTTTAAATTTCCCCCCCCCCAAAAAAAAAAAAAAATTAAGTAACATTAAATTTAGATCACTATTGTGAGGAAAACTTTAAAATAAATAAAAACTACCAGTTATTAAAAATTATAATGATAACAATAATATTTAATAAAATATAATATTAACATAAAATTATTTTCTTGATAAATTAAATTGTGCGTACTCATAAGCCATAATTAATACATTTGTATGTATCAATAATAGAAATGAATAAAATATATATGTTTTAAAATAAATGTGTATTATTAATTCTGTATTTTAGTAGCTACATATTTTATTAATCAAAAATATACTTTTTTATATTAATATATTAAAATTTGAACCTTATTAATTTTTAATTTGAAATAATAAACAATTTTTTGGTTATTTCTTCCAAGCAAATAAAGAACTTAGAACTTACTTCCTTTTTTTTACAACAGGTTGTAAAAAATTTAACATTTCTGCATAAGCATATGTTTTTCTATTTTTCCTTGGAGCTTCAGAACCACTTGCACCCTCACGTCTTGTCTCATTAACTTCTCGAGTGTAATTATCACGTACCTATATTTTTCCATTTTTTTTTCAGTTCTTCAGCTACAATATTAATATAACAATGTTATGTAATGTATTACATACCTACTAGGTACTTTACATTTAATCTTAACTATTATGTTTCAGATTTTTATCAGTAGGACTTAACTTTGTTGCCCTAAAACATGAATTTTCTCTGGGTAGAAGCACTGTTAGCAGCATAATTAAAGAAACTTGTGAGGTCATATGGTCAATCCTCCAACCCCTCGAAATGGCAGAGCCTAAGTGTGAACAGTGGATAGACATAGCACATAAATATTATGAAAAAACTCAATTTTCTAACTGTATAGGGGCTGTTGATGGGAAACATATAAGATGTGTCAACCCTAAAAACTCTGGATCAATATTTTTCAATTACAAAAAATATCTTTCTATAGTTCTCATGGCAGTTGTAGACTCAGAATATTGTTTTATTTCTATTGATGTCGGGGCATATGGAAGAGAAGGGGATTCAACTGTTTTCAAAGAAAGTCCATTTGGAAAGAAATTATATGCTGAACAACTTGGTCTTCCAGAGCCAATTTGTTTACCAAACACATAAGACAATCCTCAACCTTTTGTACTTGTTGCTGACGAGGCATTTGGACTACATAAAAACCTACTTAGACCATTTCCAGGACGTGGACTGGACCAAAAAAAAAGAACTTTCAACTATAGATTGTCAAGGGCACGGAGATACGTTGTATGTACGTTTGGAATTTTGGCCAATAAATGGAGGGTTCTGCACACAGCAATCAATGTTGAACCTGATTTTGGAGATGTAATTGTAAAAGCTTGTTGTGTACTTCACAATTTTGTCAGGAGACGAGATGGATATAAATTTGAGGACACACTATCTAATACTTTAGAGGAAATTGCAGTGAACAGAAATGGAGTTGGGGCTCGTTCCCAAGGTATTGGTGTTCGTAGCTACTTTTCAGATTATTTTATGGATGCAGGATCAGTACCATTTCAGTACAAGTTTGGATAATAACAATTATATTTAGCTAGGTAGGTATTTAATTATTATTTTTTCCTTTTTTTTTTTTTGAATGTAAGGTGAACTTGTTTATTTTTTTTTAATATAATATATTATAAATACCTAATACCTACCTATTAGGTACTACTATACTAAATACTTTTCTTTTTTTATTCCTACTACTATTGCTATTATTATTATCTTAAATATTGGAGATTGAAGTTGAATAAATAATTAATTAGGATATTAAATGAATTAAATAAAGAGGTAGAACATCAGGAAAGTGATAGTGTATTAGATTATCACTGCCATTCAGGTGGGCCCCTGGCCTATCTTTTTGTATTATAGTATTAACTATTAATTGACATGATCATTTATCACAGATTATGTGAATATTGTGTACTCAGGGCTTAAAGTGGGAAAAAATGTCCAGAGGGGAATAATGTCTACATATATTTTTAAGCGTTCCATTATTAATTTTATGTTTGATGTCTAAATATATAAAATCTTAATTTTTAAAAGGGGGCATTTTTTAACCACCATCAGTGGTAGGGAAGACTGAGTCCCCCTGCTTCCCTACACTTCAACTACTGTGAGTACTGAGCACTGTTTATAATATAGTTGATAATGAATGCTGATGTCTGATTGTAATACCTATAGAATTTTGGTTGTGTAAGGTACTAAGTACTGATTGTAATATGATTTATTAAGTTTATGTAAGGTAAATAATAAATATGAATTTTTATACATTCTAAATTACATTTTGATGTTTAATATTATGGTTCTATGAAAATAATATAATATATAGCATATTATGCATTATACAATTGATATATTGTATACCTATGGTTACCTATATATTATTATATTATAATGTATCAATATTACCTACACTGAAAAAGTATGAGTTAAAATTTAAGCATCTAGATACCTACACAGTTATACCTATAATTTTACATTTTAGGTGTATTTATTGCGAAATAATTACCACTACCTAGGTTAATAAGATGATTTTGGCAAAGTTCCTTTTTAGTAACTTAATATTATAATATACTAGCCTCAAAACCTAGTTGCTAGATCACTTTCTGATTGCTGTATATTGTAGCCCACTCCGAAAATAATTTTTATACCTATATGAAACTGATTATATCATAATAATATTGTTATATTATTATAAAGAATAGCTGTGAAAATGTGAAATAATGAACTTACTTTGTGCTTCACGCTCCTGAAGATCTGAACTTTCCCAATCCTTAAACATAACCATACTTATGTCGTACCATGCTGTTCTTTTTAAATCTTTATTCATAAATAATTTACTAGTCACATTCCACAAGCATTCATGTTTTTCAATTTCGACGATAAATAATTCAACGTCAATCAATGTGAATTTAAATTTAAAAATTATAAAAATTAAATTACCGTTGAATTAAAAAGTAAAAACGCAGTATGGCTCTTTGCATTCATGACAGTGCGTTCATGATACGAACGGTTGAGCGGTGTCGCCGTCGAACCGCTGCATGCTGCGGTACGCGGCGGCGGCGAACGGTAAAGCCGCTGTGTATGGCGCGCTATATGCCTATATTTAAACTTGTTTGTTTTTCGCGAACGTAAAAACCGCGGCGGTAAAACCGTCCGGACCTGACGAAAATACCGCAGTGTGGCGAGGCCCTTCATGTTCAATATGTGGTTTTACAGTGTTCATTAGTTTTTTTAAAAATGTTTGGCTCATTGGATAAATTGTCCTGGTGAATTTGTTTAAAATATTTTTCAAATATTTTTACAGCTTTAAATAAATCGTCTGACGGAATCTTCAAGCTGCCTTTAGACATATATTTGGTCCAATTGTTTAAATCACCATCATGTGTGCCTATTAACTGTGGAAACTTTTCAGAAAACCTATTTGCTACATAACCAGTTACATATTGTGCACAATTCTCCTCAATGCTGTCAAATGGTTCTTCAATGGCTAGCTAAAATACATAGATAAGTGGTAATTATTAAAACCTTCTTTGTTCCATTATTATTTATATTAATATATTTATAATTAGGTACTTCAAACTGTTCTAAAATATCCAAATATGTTTCTGGAACTACTATTTGTCGAACTCCAACACAAGATTCCAGATTGGCTACATCATCAATGACAACTGTTTGGTCATTTTCATCAAGATTAGAATCGGTTATGATTGTTCATGTTAAGCAGTCGTTTTCTTCTAATACGTTTGTTTCAATGCTCTGTTCAGTGTTTGTATTGTTTGTGAACACAACATTCGAATGCTTCCCCAGAATAAACCATCTTAAGCTGAAGCAATTAAAAATTAAATAATTAATGTTAATTCTATACATTTTTCAATAATATAAAATTATATAAATACAGCATACCAATGTTTAAAGTCTAGGGCAGTTATATTTGAACTTGCACTTCCTGCCATACCTTTTAAAAAGCTATATAAATTTTCCACTGTATCACTATTCACTTTTCGGGTTAAAATATAAGAAATTCCGTGTAATTCTTTTAAGTCAACCAATAAATTCTTTAAAGATATATTACATATCAAAATTCCTTAAAAAAATTGTGATTTATATTATATTCAGATGAATACGTTATATCATAAAACAAATATTGTAGTATTAAACCTTTTTGAAATGGGAGCAAATGTTGTTTCTTGTGAACTCTCATATTCAGTATAAGATTACTCATTTTATCAATCAGTTCATTTTGATCTGTTAAATTTAGTCCATAACTTTCTGTACCATTATCAATTTTTTTTGCTGTGTATTAAATAGATCAAACCATTGATCAATCAATGAAATCATTTCAGCAGCCTATCATCAAAAAAAATTATGTATCAAAATTATTAAATAAAAAATTCTAAAAAAGCTTAAGTTTAATTATTAATTAAAATTAACTATAACCCTTACATCTCTTCAATTATATTTATCATCTATATATTGCTGTTCTCCTCAGAAGGCCATTGCCTTTGCAACACTATTTGATAGTAGCTGTACAGCTAATCGTACATTCATTCTCCCGGGTCCTTCAACTAACAAATGTCTATCAGAGACTGTGTATGCAAATTTAAAATCATGTTTTGAATTTAAATTGATAAGTTCCTGAAATATATTTATTCCAACAAATTTTCCATTTGGTAATACAAACACTCTAAAAAAAATATATATATAAATAATAACAGCCTAGTTACATGGTTTTATCATTTTCAAAAATACATACTGGTCAAGTAAATGATATCTTAAAAGTTTCATTAAATGAGGAACATCTGCAAAAACATGGATTTTTCTCTGGGTACACGGATGTTCAAATGATGAATTAGTTATTGATATATTTAAATTTCTCCACAATCCCATATTGGATGGACCCATATCATTGACTATCGCTATAGTATCGTAACCAATGTTGTGTAGCTCTTTAATTATATCGAATGACAATTCTTTTGTCATATTGGTATCATAATTGTAATATATGAGTAGATAAATAATTTTATCTTATCTTATAAAAGTTTAATTTAGTACCTATATTATCTAAAACGCTCAATTATTTGTCCCGAGTCTCAGTGAACGATTGAACATTTCAAATGAACAAACGTATTTTTGCGTGTTAATTGTATAGTACCTTTGTTTTAAATATAAGTTGGGAGTTTTTTATTATGAGTGAAATATGTCAAATTATCCCATCTCGAAAAGGAAATGCCAAAATATGTGTATATATATAAATAATATATATATATATAAATATATATAAAGATATATGAAATAGGAGTGTCTTAGAATTTTTACGGGGTTTGGCTCATAATATATCGATGTAGTTTTATATATTTTTTTTGTTCAATGACGATCGGCGGTCACATGCCGGATATTAATTCCAATAATGAAAATAATAATACAAATTATGATGTATATAAATATTAAATATAATATAAATTTTTTTGTGTTTTTAAATTAAATTTTTAAATAATGATTAACGAATATAATAGTATAAAGTAATAGAATAATGTAATTGTAGTTTAATGTATTGTTTGAATTTTTAAATGAAATTCTAGAATAATGAACATTATAATATTATGTAAATATGTTTTGGTCGGGATTTTAAACTGTAGGTATTATGATTTGTCGGGATTTTAAACAGTTGGTATTGTGATTTGTCGGCATTTGGTATTTCGGGATTTCGACCCAGACCCAAAAATAATTAATAATATGTAATTACATATTATGTACCTATGCCAATATGTATATAATATGTGGAATGTGTATTATTAAAATGTGTTTTTTAAAAACAAAAAGGACAATAAAAATAGATTTATCGATTAAAAATGTGGATTTTTATACGCATTTTAATTTTTCATAATAAATAGATGATTATGATGAAAAACTAATAATAAATCTTTATCGTAGGTACGCAAAATACTAACCTACCTACTCGTGCCACATACATTTTGTCATGTTGTACAGTAGCTCCTATCCCAATGTCTACGTGTGACGATGTTGCCGAAAATGTAAAAAAAAAAAATAGTCTTTCATAAGTTTTTGGGGTAAGTTTTTTACCCACTCGCTCACTGCTATTCTCCTCTTTACATTCAGTTATAAAGTTGTAAAGTTATAAACTGACAAATTTTAATTTTAATATTAGTACTTATTCATAGTTCAAAACAAACAAATAGAAATTTATTTAACCAAATACTCATTAATTATTAAAACATATTATATTATAATACTACGGTTAAATAAATGAATATTTTATTGTAAAACAGTGTTATATTATTAAAAAAAAACTCAAACTAGCTAGTATTAAAATATGAGTAGGTATTTAATACAGATTCATACTAGCCAATATTAAAAAATATGTACCAAACTATAAAAGCTATTAAAGAATTTAAACCAGGGCTTGAAACCGATTTTCGATACCGGTTTTGAATACCGGTTTAAACCGTTAAAAACCGAAACCGAAATCGGAAAAAAATAATACCGGTATCCAAAACCGAAACCGAAATCGGAAAAAATCGATACCGGTATCTGAAACCGAAACCGAAAACGGAAAAAATCAATACCGGTTTCCGAAACCGAAACCGAAATCGGAAAAAATAAATACCGGTATCCGAAACCGAAACCGAAATCGGAAAACATAAATACCGATATCCAAAACCGAAACCGAAATCGGAAAACATAAATACCGATATCTGAAACCGAAATCGAAATCGGAAAAAATAATACCGTTTTTTGAAACTTAAGACGACATCTTAAGAAATAACATGATATCCGACGGAAGTCGAAAAATTATAACATTAATATCTAACATTTAAAAAGTTCTACGCATTTAAAATAAACCTATAGACTATAATTGAATTTCTGTTTAAAAGCTATGAATAATATAATTTATAATTCATATGGTAGAAAATAATGTATAATAAAATATGGGGTAATTGTTTACTCCGTGCGCAAAACGAAGAATTAAATTAAATTAAATTTTTTTTACATGGAGTTGACATAGTATTTTTGTTGGTATATTATTAGTTTTTATAAATTATATATTTAAGAAAACGAATATCTCTCCTCTCTCCCTTACCGGTACTAGTAGTAAACCGGTCACCCGGAGTGCATTGTCGTCTTCTCAATCTGATGATATTCTCAAAGCCATTGCTAAATTGGAATCTTCTCACCAACAACTTCTAAAATTAAACCAGCAAACCAGTGCTCAACAATCTGCTCAGTTCGAAGAACTCAAGTCAAACCTTGGTAACATTTCAACTCAAATATCCGATCTGAAAGCTGAAAACTCCAATCTTCGTGCTGAACTGACTGCTTTGAAAAGCAAAATACACCTACTTGAATCTACACCAAATACGTCCTCCCCTCAACCCCCTCTACTTGAACTCATCCAAGAACTCTCTGAACGTGATAAATGTAGTTCTAATGTAATTGCCTATGGTTTCACTGAATCCACTTCACGCACGCCTCAAGAAAGAATTGCTGATGACACGAAATCCGTCTCTGATGTATTCTCCAATCTGTCATTCAAATTCCCTACTGACGCTAAACTATTCAGGCTAGGAAAAAATGTCACAAACACCCCTCGTCCTCTAAAAATCATCCTTAATTCTAAGGCTGAAGCAGCATGCCTTCTGTCTTCGCTTAGTGAAGCTAGAAAGAGTCATGTTAATCTTCCCCCCGGCATCAAATTTGTTCGAGATAAATCTAAACTCGAACGTAAGTTACTACGTCAACTTCACGAAGAGCTAGATCATCGCAAACAAAATGGGGAAATTAACTTATCCATAAACTACATCAACGGAATTCCACAAATCATCTCTTCCATCTCAAAAAACCACACCAGAGGGCGTCTCTCTCACACCAGTCAACTAGCCGCTTAAACACATCCTCTGTCAACGCCCTCACTGAATCTTTTGGTTTCTACCAGAATTGCAGAGGATTAAGAACTAAACTACGCAATGTTATTTGTAATGTATCTAGCTTTAATTTTATATTTATTTCTTTAACCGAAACATGGTTACATTGTAATATATAATCTAGTGAATTAGGATTATCTAATTATTTTGTATATAGATGTGATAGAAGTAACCTTACGAGTAACTTAAAAAGGGGCGGTGGGGTTCTCATTGCTATTCGGAAAGATATCATATCTTACCCAATAACTGTCTCTAATAATTCAGTAGAACACCTATTTATAGGGTTCCACTACAAGAACACTAATTATGTTGTCTCCAGTGTATATATTCCTCCTTCTAGTCCCTCTCTCCTATATGAATCTCACATGGAAACGGTTGAATCCTTAATCAATGCGAACCCTACCAATACATATTTATTCTGTGGCGACTATAATCTACCTGGATTATCTTGGTCAAACGACTCTGATGGACTAACTTTTTCTTCAACCTCTGGTTCTTCTGGCTCCTGTGTTCCCGAAACCTTCGCTTCCTTAAACTTTTTCCAGCATAACTCTGTCCTCAACTCTTCTCAATCCACACTTGACCTAATATTTTCAAATATTGCAAATATCTCTGTTGAAAAGAGTCTCAACCATCTCGTTCCCTGTGATTCCTTTCACCCAGCTTTAGAGATTTCACTTTTAAACATCCCTCATATACCCTTTGTAAATAACTCCCATACATTTTTTGACTTTCGCAAGTCTGACTATCCAAAAATAATTTCTTTCCTAAATTCTTTCAATTGGTCCTCAACTTTACTCAACCTTGATGCAAATTCTGCAGCTTATTGCCTGTATGATGCCTTACACTACTCTATACTCAACTTCGTTCCCGAAATTCGTTTTACTCCTTCAAAGTTTCCTCCCTGGTTCACAAAGGAATTAAAAACATTAGTGTTCACTAAAAAACGAGCACATGCCACTTTCAAAGCTACACACAACCAGCAGGACTATTCTGCATTCTCTAAATTACGTGCACAGTTTAAATACTTGTCCAGAAAATGTCACAATAATTACCTAACTCATATTGAATCCCAAATTAATAGCAACCCAAAATCTTTCTGGAAATTAGTACGCAAGAGTCGTTCAAGCTCTGGGCTACCTAATGTCATGCATCTAGACGCTCAACAATACTCAGGTAAGGAACAAATAGCTAACATGTTCTCCATTCACTTCGCTTCCGTTTACAAACCATCTAGTAGCTCTGCCTTACCTAGTACCCCATTTCTTTTTCACCAATTGCCTAGTAACTGTCACTTTTCAGTTTCCGATATAGAAACTAAATTAAAAACCCTATCAAACACTACAAGTGCTGGTCCGGATGGTATTCCTGGTTCTTTCTTAGCTAATATCAAATCTGTAATTTCAGTCCCCCTATGGATAATATTTAGGCGTTCACTTGATGACGGTATCTTCCCTGACATTTGGAAATTATCTTCTGTCACTCCTATCCACAAAACCGGAGATCGTGATGACATCCGTAATTACAGGCCTATATCTGTTCTAAGTCATCTTGCAAAGCTCTTTGAATACCTAGTTGTCCGTAGTATTCAATCTCCAGTTAACTCTATTCTTATCGACGAGCAATATGGCTTTCGGCCTAATAGATCCTCCACTCTCAATAGTATGGTATTTAACAACTACACTTTACAGGCTCTTGAAAACCATTCTCAAGTGGATGTAATTTTCACTGACATCTCCAAAGCTTTTGACCAAGTAGACCATTATATTCTCATTGACGTTCTTTACAAAGCAGGCTTCGGCGAACCGCTACTATCTTGGTTCAAATCATACATAACTATGAGAAAGCAATGGGTAAAAATTTTAGATTGTCGCTCAAGTTTGATAAACGTTACCTCAGGGGTCCCTCAAGGTGGTCATCTTTCTCCAATTCTATTTGCTATTTTTATTAACGGCTTGAATTCTGCTCTTAAGCACTGCCGTTTTTTGGCTTTTGCTGATGATGTTAAATTATTTTCATGCGTCAACTCCATTGATGATTGCATACGCCTTCAGAGTGAATTCAATTGTTTATCCACCTGGTTAGAGAACCATAGACTATACCTCAACATCAGCAAATGTCAGATTATGTCCTTTACTAGACGCCAAGCTACTATTCTATTCGATTATTCTCTTAACAACCATTCCATAACGCGAGTTACTGTAAAGAAAGATTTGGGTATCCTTCTAACTTCCAACTTAGACTACCACTCCCACATTGAGCACGTCACCTGTAAATCTTTAAAGACATTAGGTTTTATAAAACGCTTCTCTTCTAATTTCAATCTAACCTATTCTCTCAAAAATTTATACTGTGTGCTTGTAAGGCCGATAATAGAATATGGTTCCATTCTTTGGGATCCTTATACAACCTCTGACTCTTCCCTACTTGAGCGTGTTCAGCGTAAATTCCTTAATTTGCATCCTTTTGTCTTAATATCCATCATGAACCTCACGATTATTCCCCAGTCTTACACCACTTACAACTTAGTAGTCTTTCCGATAGAAGAGTTTTTGCCAACATTATCTTCCTAAATAAACTTACGAATGGTACCATAAATGCTCCCGAGCTTCTCGCTGAGGTAAACTTTCGTGTTCCAAGTAGGTCTTCCAGGCTAACGGCCCCCTACTACCTCGACACACCACTAACTATGGCCGAAACCACCCTATCCACCGAATGATGCGTTTAGCAAATGAGAACCTCTCGAGTCTTTAATCTTTAGTCTTTGTTTTATATCAATATTATTATAATGTTTTGTCTGTATCTTATTCCATTAACTGTACTTTGGGCTAGTCCCGTAATGTAAAATAAATAAATAAATAAATAAATAAATAAATATATTATTATTTATTTTAATAGTTTATAATATTTATATTGCCGTTTCCATGGCGCGTTTATAATAATATTATTAAAAATTATTAATTTGGTCCATTTATTAGACCTGTAGCCTAGGTCATGTGCTATGCCTTCTTTTTTTTTTTCTTAGTTTTACTTAGTTTTTTACTGGATTCTAAAATATTATTTCGAAAGAACCTACCTATATAGATATTTATATTATTATGTATACTTTCTGAGTTCTGCAGTAATACAATTGACATTAATAATGATTAATGGTGCCTAATATATTATATTATTATAATTAATATTTTATAATATAATAATATATTATTATGTAAGTAGGTCTAGCTGCACTGGTGCAGTAGTCTTCGTCTGCGGGCACCCGTATGTTTGCATAGGTAATTTCACAGGGTATATAAATATTATTACACGCATAATATATTATTATTACACGCAATATAATAATTATTACCTATATTTATATATTATATTTTATTTTGGTAAATGGATTAATCGTATAGTCGTATTCTAAAACAGAATACTCAGAAATACGCCATAATAAAAATTGTATAACAATAATACTATTATTATTTACTATATTATGAGCTGTCGTGTTTTTCTGCCGCCACAGACGATCAGAAGACAGAAATAACTATGTGGCATAATTTTCCTACATTAAATTAACACAATAGCCAACAATAAATTATGAAATACTGAGTCAATAATTATAGTATAGTTATAAATAATTTAAATAATTTATAATTTATTATAATACATTTTAAGGCCTTAACATAATTATCTGGGTTTCCCTAAAAGCCGTCGACTAAAAAATGTGCTCCCTACCAACCCACCACCAACCATACTCTATTGGATTAATATACCTAATCTAGATTGGTATAATATAATCAAGCTGTGATCAATTTGATTAATGTGGTGGGTGGGACACGCATGAAGTTAGCCCCTCATTGAGAAAATAGTTTCAACTTATAAACGATGAAGTTACACAAACTCTTAAAAAATTAGGTCGCAAATCATTTGGAAAATGTGTTATGAAGTGGAGAGGCTATAACTAAATACGTCATAATTACGTATTCATTCCAGTGTAAATATTATCATTGATTGCAAATCTTATAGTACTTGTCAGGCAACCAGACGCTAAATCGTACGCCACCCAATGTTTGGCGATTGGCAAGTAGGTTCCTACGCCAGTATTTTATGCCATTATAAATTATTACAAATACAGGGATTAAAACCGATATTCGATACTGATTTTGAATACCGGTTAAAACCGTTAAAAACCGAAATCGAAACAGAAAAAATGAATACCGGTATCCGAAACCGAAACCGAAACCGAAACCGAAATCGAAAAAATTCAATACCGGTATCCGAAACCGAAACCGAAATCGGAAAAAATCGATACCGGTATCCAAAACCGAAACCGAAATCGGAAAAAATTGATACCGGTATCCGAAACCGAAACCGAAATCGGAAAAAATCAAAACCGGTATCCGAAACCGAAAAAATTTTTTTCGGTTTCAAGCCCTGATTTAAACATATATATAGTACAATAAGTATAATTTAAGTAGTACCTACCATTAATTTATTATGAATAGACTATAGTACCTACTTAGTATTTATAATGAATGGGCAATGGCAGTACCTGGTTATAGGTAGTGTATTGATATTAGAGACTTAGTTTACGAAATTAATTCAAATCAGTTGAAAGTTGAGAGTAAGCAACGTCCGCTGATACTAGTTCCCGGATGGGTAACCACCCGGGTTCGTAGTAGCAAAACTCTTGTCCCCCATACACGCGTTGCTCACCAACCACACCAACCGTTCCAACTCTACCGACCTTACAGGCTAACGACATTTGTCATCGCAGCCTTAATAATAATTCAAAACATTTGTAGGTACTAAATTTACAATTTAATAAATTGAAGTTCAATTATTGAACCTTTTTTTTTCTTCAGCTTGTCAGCCCATTAAGGGCCATCGCTGCCATCACATAATCTCTCCACTTCTCTAGTTCTCGCTACCATATGCGTTGTAAAAAATCGAGTCCTCTTTTATATTTTTGATGTCTTGAACCACGACATCCACACATCGGGACCTTGATCTTCGTAATGGATGTTCTTTTGTTTGTTTGTTAATTCGAACTTCTTTCATTATTTGTCCGTCCGCTCTCCATACATGACCAAACTATTCTAGACGTTTGCCTTTTATGTATAGATGGTATTTTGTTAAAAGGGCGTATACCACCAAAAATCGAAAAATGAGTTTTTGGTATCAAAATTTTCAGAAAAAATAGGAGCATAATCTGTAATATTAGAGTGATTAAAAATATTGAGGATTATTATCTATAAAGCGGATAAATGAAATCCAAACGCCCTAAAGAGAATATGTATATTTTTAAGGAAAATGTTAAAAGGGCGTATACCACAGGAATTGCTAGTAGTTTTCTCGAATAAACAAACTAGTTTTGAATTATCACGTTTTTATCAAATTTAAAATTAAATTGATGTTGTGGTACATATTATGTGACAGTTAACTAAACGCCAGTTGGTCTACAAATAATACAAATTCGTATCATTGTTTTATTGTTAAGAATTTAGAGGGAAAACTACACTTAATAATCATAGATAGGTAATCGTAATTGTAATCGTAATCGTATCATAATCGTAATTAATTATGATTAATATGTTAATACGTTATTGTAAAATAATACTAGGTACGTATTACTAATTTAGTAGTTTGTTAAAGTTTTTTGGTTTTAAATAGTGTTGTTAATTTTTTAATAAATAATATGATCTCATCTAAAAGTAAAAAGCTTTTAGGTTTAGCTAAAAAAACTTCAACAAATATTCAAAATTCCACTGCAACAGAAGAAAATTTTAATAATATTTATTTTGATGACTTAAATAGCGTGGATATAAATGCCATTGACACCTTTGTTTTCTTAGATGATCATGATATTGTTTTAGCTAATAATAAGGACCCTGTGGTAGATGACAATCAAATTTATACAATAAATAATGATAATAATGTATCAGACAATATTTCATTTGATGAATATGTGTCACCTAAAGCAGTAGAATGTAGTTCATCAGATAAAATTGTTGGCCAAAGCCAAGCTGATGATTCAGATTATAATAATATTATAGTGGACCCTTTATTTAATGTTGAAGAAATAGATGATTATGGAGTGAAGAAAAGAAAAATAGCTGCCAGAGTAAATAAGAAAACTTGTAAATTATATGGTGAGTCTTATAAGAAACTTAAAAAAGATGGGAGCATTGTAACAGTTGATGAGAAAATTATAAAAGAAAACCCTTGTTCAGGAAAAAAATGTACTAATGAATGTAATACAATAACAGAAGAGGAAAGATTAATAATATTTAATAGATATTGGAAAGAGTTTGATCATACTAGGAAACGAGACTACTTACTAGGCTGTATGAAGAGATATAATGCAAAGAGACAGTATACTACTCATGAAAATAATCGTTTTAATATGTACAAATATTGTTTTTCTTTTAATGATACTACTAAAGTTGTTTGCAGAAAGTTTTTATTAAACACATTGAATATAACTGAAAAGTTATTAAGATTTACAAGGGACAATAAAGTTGGTATAAGTTTATCGAAGACTGATGACAGAGGTTAAAAATCAGCACTTAACAAAACCTCTGAAGAAGTTATAAAAAGTATTAAGGCATTTATAAATAAACTACCAGCTGTACCTTCCCACTAATGCATGAGTTCCTCGACTAAAAAATACATTGGCAGTGAATTTCACAGTTTAGCAAATGTTTATAGAATCCATGTTGAGATTGTAAACTAAACAATAACATAACAACAGTTTCAAGTGCAATATTTCAAAAACTATGGAGGGATCAATATAATATTGGTATACATGTTCCTAAAACAGACAAATGCACGAACTGTGAAGCTTACAATAACAGAAAAAATTTAACCAAAGATAAAAATATGATACAAAAAATCATCTAAAAGAAAAGCAGTATACCTATGATATATTCAAAAGCGATCAAGAAAGAAGTGGAAAAGATGGATTTCTATGTTGCAGCTTTGATCTCTAAAAAGTATTGAATACACCTGCTGGTAATAGTATGTTATTATATTACTCTAGGAAATTAGCTTACTATAATTTAAGTGTGTATGAAAGTAACTCAAAAGTAGGATTTTGTTATTTGTGGTCAGAGGTTGATGGTCTTAGGGGATCGAATGAAATAAGCAGTATTATATTTTCATATTTGAAATCTGTTGATGAGAGAAGCCCTATTATTCAGGACATAGCTCTGTACTACGACAGTTGTCCTGGGCAAAATAAAAACCACAAAATGATTTCAATGCTACATTATTTTCTTGCAAGATATTCAAACAATATCAAAACTATTACTATAAATCATTTACTTCCTGGTCATACCTATATGCCAGTAGACTCAGTACATGCATTAATTGAGAAAAACATTAAAAAAAAATTATATGGGCCTCTTCTGAGTGGGCAACAGTAATTAGTAACTCTAGAATAAATGCTGGTCCCTACACAACAATTGTTTTAAGCCATACTGACTTTTTAGATTGAACAGAAGTGTGCAATTCAATTTTTAATAAACCAAAAATGAAGGATACTAATGATTGTCAAGTAAAATTCAAAGCAATAGAAGTATTATTTTGGTACAAGATAATCCAAACAAAATTAAGTTTAGTTATTCATTTGAAAATCAGATTTGTAATATTATTGACTTGGAAGCAAACAAACGATTAAGATCATCTGATTTAACTTTATTAGCTAGTCCAAAACAACTATACACGAAGAAATTGCCTTTAAATCCAGAAAAATACAAGGACTTAAGTAATTTATGCACCAAAAATGTTATTCCTATATGTTACCAACAAGAATATTTAAATCTATCATATAAATCAGCAATAAAAGATAATCTTCCAGAAACTGATGAAGATGAGTAGATGTAAAACTATAATGGATATTAAATTTAGTTACCAAATACATTTTAAATCTAAATTGTATTTATTATTAAATTGTATTATGAGTTATTTATTTTATTTTGTGATAAAATAATATATTTGTTATTTTTATAATAATAATAGCAAAAGAAAATGCTTTTAGTTTGATAATAAGTTTACAGGATTTTGTATCATGATGTATTTTAATAGTTAAAGTGGGGTAATTGTAAATTGGGGAAATTGAAAAAAAAATTATATAAAATTACGTTATCATTTTTTTTTTACATTTTATCACAACCGTATGAAAGTATAAACGGTTTTGATATTGTGTACTGGTTTAAACACTAAAATTTGAGGTTATGTGATGATAATATTTATTATTTGATAACACACCTAATTTTTTCCGATTGTCGAATGGCAGTATCCAACATCAATCAACTGCCAATCATTCGAAAATGTAAGTATTATGTTCAACTTTGTTTTGTTGTCTTTCTTATTGTGTTTATAATGAAATATTATGCACGGGAATCGTGAAATACGTTAATTTAAATGTTTATGATATTATTTACATTTTCCCCTAATAAATGTATGATGGGGTAAATGTAAATTTAAATCCGGGGCAATTGTAAAAATTATTTTGTTATAATTTTTACAGTTAAAACATTTTTTAATTGGATATTATTTATATTTAGTTTTTGTAATTATATAAAGAAAAGGCCAAGTCCTAAATACACCATAGAAGATGTTCAAAGCGTAGTAAATGCCGTTAATGGACGACGTTATACATATGCTCAAGCATCTGATGAGTATAAAGTGCCAATATCAGTTATATTTCAGAGGATTAAAGAACGAAAAACTGTGATGAACTGCCTGAAAGCTGGTCGCTCTAGTGCATTAACTACAGAGTCTGAAAATATCATTGAAAAATGTGTATTAGCTAGATCACAAATGGGTCAACCATGTGATAAAGAAGAGTTGAAGGATCTAGTATTTGAGTATGTTAAAGTAAATAATTTTAAAACCCCCTTTAAAGATGATTGACCAGGTTATGACTGGTATTATTCTTTTATGAGACGACACCCTTTATTAACATTTAAAAAACCAGAACAGCTTCAGAAGTTAAGGAAGGATGCTAGGAAGCCTGATATTATTTATAATTTTTATAGTAAACTCAGACAAGTTTATACAACAAACAACATAACCCCTTTTGATGGTGAGTTCATATTTAACTGTGATGAAAGTGGTTTTCTAACTGACCCATCAAAGTTAAAAGCTATTGGGGAAAATTATAAGACACTTAGTCGTGTGTCTGGCGGGTCTGGCAGAGAATCAATATTAGTTTTAGCCTGCATTTCTGCAAATGGGTCTTTCTTGTCCACCTTTATTGTTTTCAAGGGTGGTGCAGTCCAAGCACCTGGAACTCTTTATTCAACATCTAAAAACGGCTGGATTCCATTATTGGAACCATTATTTTTCAACTGGTTTGAGACTATGTTACTTAGAAATATTGAAACATTAAGAATTACAAAAAATAAACCCAACCAACTACTGTTTTATTATTTGATGGTCGTTGTTCTCATATAAGTCTGCGTATTTTAGATTTGGCAATTGAAAAAAATATAGTTTTGGTAAAATTTCCCAGTCATCTTACTGATAGACTACAGCCATTAGACAAATGTGTTTTTTGCCCTTTAAAAACAGAGTGGAACAAACTATTGATCAAGTTTGGCAAACAAATGGAAGGAAAAGGTATTGGTCGATTAACAAAGGGTACATTTTATGAAATTCTAGGAACACTTTGGTCAATGTCGATGAAACATGAAAATATATTATCTGGATTTGTGTCGACTGGTTTATATCCTCATGATGAAACCAAATTTCCTGAGAGTGAATTTGATCCCATAGACTTAAAAAATTACTATAAAAATCTACATAGTGACAATTCTGAAGAAAACAATGCAGCATTAAATAATGAACATTACATAGAAACAAGTGATTCATTAAATCCAAATATAGAGGAGCCAATACCAGGGCCTAAAATAAATGAAACTTCGTACTACACTATTTTATAATTTCACATAATTTAATATGAGTTCTCCCTCTCTAAAAATAAAATATAAGTTAATTTTTTTTTTTTTATTTGAAAATTTAACGTAACACCTGTCACCTGTATAGAATAATTAAAAGTATAACCTAAAATTATATTTAAAACAGTATTTTTCCAAGTTCAATATTATTTGTTAAATTATATTTTTCTTTGACTTCTTCAAAAACCCCTTGATACCATTCCTGTTTTTTTGCATGTGTATGCATTTTAGAATGTCTTTTTTTTTTGTTTATCCAATTAAAGACAGCTGGTTGAGGATCAAACTCGTCTAAAGCTGACATGTTTATTTTCACATACAGAGAATCTTTCATTACTGTAGGAGATAGAGAAGATCTTGTTGCAGTTTTTACAGTTTTTTCTAACAACAAAACGATCCATAGCACCGTAGTAGTGTACTAGTGTAGTACTATACTAAATAATATATTATTATTATATTTCTCTAGGTGGACCAGAATCAGAAAATATTAATTAATAATTTTATTTTGCTGATATTTCATTTATCACAAAATTAGTTTTACTACGTATCTATTTATTTATTATTTATCGACGCCTCAGAGGCATTAGTTTAGTACAGATTATAATAATAGAAATTACATAATATTACAAGTTAAGAAAAAAGTACATTGGTGCACGAATAAAGAATAGGCTAAAGAAAATATTAACAAGTACAATTTTTTAGTTTTAGAATTAATGATGGCAAAGAATCGTTAAAAATATCAATATTTGACATATTATTAATAGATCGACAAGCACGATCAAGAGGGGCTGCGTAACCATAGTTAGTGGTGTGAAAATTCATTTTAAAAGTTTGGGGGTTTTTGGAATAAAAAGAAGGAACGGCTAAAGATAATTTAGCAGTAAATCAGGAGCATCAATATCATTGTTCAATAATTTGTAAATAAAGGTAACATCAAATTCAACACGTCTATCAGTTAGAGATTTACATTCTCCACTGTCAACAAGTTTTCAAGCATCTTCCTCAGGTATCAGTCAAGAAGTTTCATTTTCTAATGATATTAAAAATACTTCTTCCAATAGTTTAAGTCCAAGAGATATTGTAGGCATTTTTTTTTAATCAACTTTTACAGTATAAACAACAAAACTCTACTACCAATGACGTAGCTAAGACACCAATCATAAGACTGAACACTTCAAGGTATGGAGAAGTGTTAACAACATCAGAAGTATTAAATAGACTAAAGGAAGCTCAAGAAAAGAAAAATATGAAAAAGCCTGCTGGAAAACGTGGTAGGCCATGTAACGGGACAAACGGAGTGCCCATTTGGGTGGCGCACTCTCGTGGCCCGTTACCACACCTCAACGTCAAACACGACCGCGCGCTCTTACGCCGCACGCAAGTACAAAAACACCAGCGAACGCACACAGACAACTGCGCGCCGTTACCGCAGATAGCGCTCCACGCACACCACCATTTCCGGACGCCCGCCGCCCTCCGGGAAATCGCTCATAACTTATAAACCCCACAACTTAAAACCCCAATTAAAAACAATTATGAATCTCCGTTAGTCAAACTACTTCTCCATATTTTTCAAACGATTTTAAGTTGATCAGAA